TCAACCAAAGTGGAAAAAAGTGTGTTGTAGAGGTTAAGAGTCACTTTTCTTAATCACAGCTGAGTTCCATGACTGGTTAATGCAGTTACTGGACATCTAATCTTGCTTTAATTCGTTTCACACTGCTCAGTTTGTTCAATGAGTGTACTAATCACAGCTTCATCTGTGATTGCCATAAGGCTTAAGGGAGGAGAGCAAGGAAGGCACTCAGCACAGTTCAGACTCCTATTTCAGAAACCCAGGTTGCACCCTTGCCGTGGGCAGGGCTTGCCGTGGGCGGGGCAAGGCTCTAGGCATGGAAGGTTCAGTGGAGACAGAACACCAGTAGGATCCTTTCCTTCCTCGGGCAATTAACACACAAACGCATGCCACCTAATCTAATGTGCGGAGGACACAGAAGCTTTCTAGAAAGGTCTGAGCACGGGTTTGGGGTGTATCTGGAAAGGACTTGCTTGGGAAGACAGTGGTCACGGGAGGGTTTTGAAAGAGATGGTGGTGGAAGGAAGGGGGAGTCCGGACAGCCACATGGACACCTGAGGGCAAGTGTCCCAGAAAGAAGGACAACAGTGGAGGACGCTCCATCAGAAAGGTCCGTGTCGTGTTCTAGGCGCATAATTAGCACCAAATTAACATTCGCGTTCAAGTCATTTCATGTCAACAGAATTTGAGAGTGATAGAAAAATACACAGGTTTATTATTTCTAGTAACCTCATAAAAAAGAGAGAAAATGTATTTTTCACCTAAGGAGTCTTCAACTAAAAAGCATAACACTTTGGAAGTCTAGAAGCAACAACAGACATTTTTCCAAATTCACTGGAATTAAATTAAAAGTTAAAAGTATGTACGTCTCTTTAACTCTTGAGATTATATCTTCCCCAAAAATAATCAGTATACAAAGTATAATCTTATCATTGACTTGAAATTTAATCCAGTCGAATAAAGAGTCCTCGTTCAGGGAAGTGGCCTTTTGTCTACTATTTACCAGGTCATTTCTGCATGGACATAAAACATGGGTAAGAAAAAATAAGCTATAAAAAGTTCTTGGTAAATGACAACTTAATAAATTGAAGGTAATTCTTAGCTAACCTGACCTAGAGTCCCAAGGTAAGAGCTTTATTCTAGGACCCCTGGTGGCTCTAATTGCCTTCCATGTAACCACAGTTACAAATGCAAATAATACTTCACTTTTTTTATGTGCTCTTTCAACTCAGTGAGCAACTAAAAATATTAATTCCACAGATCAGAGTGCCTTAGCATGAAAGGAAATTCTCCCTCTTAAGCCCTGGTAAATATTGACAGAATGAAATGCCAACTGACATGTTTTACTTAAAAAGTAGGTGCTCTTCCTTGGTTTGTTTGTTTGCTTACTTTAAAAATCTACTGCCAAAGATACTTTACATAGTTTTAAACAGCTCATAATATTCTGCGCTGTGAAACATCGTAATAGCTGCTTACATATGAAGTAAGCATGAAGTAAATGATGCAAGCATAATTTCAAACAAAATCACTTGCATAATCACCAAGGTATGACAACCATTCGTCTGTTTGGTAATAGAAGGAAAAGGTAACGTCCATCCCATCCCCAAAGCTAATTAGCTAATGTAAGCATTGGCTAATGACACCAGTGTCCAGATGTGAAAGATCGCTTCTGACTCACTGCAATTTATCAAGCACTTCCATCAGATGTTCCTTCTGTAGAGAAGGTACGATAATTGCTTAAGAGTTAGAGACCCTTCTAGAAGATGAGAACCTTGAGAACCTGCCCTTAATTTAACAATCTGAAATCTCATAATGCGGGCAAAGCTCAGCCCAGGGGCGGTTTCCGTTTTTTATAGATGTCGATTTAAAACATGCTGGCTGAGATGATCGATATAAGGGCTCCTTTAAAGCCTCAGAATGAATCAGGAAACCCTAAACCATGATGTTCTCCTCTTCCTATTTAGTATCATGATCGCGCAGACTGGAAAGGGAATTCAGAAAATGGCCTGTGGTGTTTGGGGCCCATCGACAGCTAAGAAACTATTGTGACAGTCTGTTTTAGGTAGCATTTAAAATACCTTTAAGTTTCATGGTATCTATCTCCCCCCACATTTTAGATATCTCAAGCTATCTTTTTACAGAAATGGTTATAAAATCTCAATTTTCCTTATTATTTTTTTTTAAATCTCCACTTAAAAAAATTTTTTTTCCACTCTTCTGCAATTGATGAACTTATCAGTAGAAGCAGGTAGAGACACGATTTAAAGGAAAGAATGCTAACACACTCCAGGTTCCTAAATACTTCCAACCTCAGAAACTTACAGCATTTTTAAATGTTTATTTATTTTGAGAGAGGGAGCGCACGCATGTGAGAGAGAGCACGAGTGGGGGAGGGGCAGAGAGCAAGGGGAGAGAGCCCCAAGCAGACTCCACACTGGCGGTGCCTAACTCGGGGCTTGATCTCATGAACCATCATGTCATGACCTGAGCCAAGACCAAAAGTCAGATGCTTAACTGACTAAGCCAGCAGGCATTCCGAAACTTAAAAATTTTAAAGGAAGAAAGTATATTCTATAGTGAGGGATGCCCCCTGGCAAACAGGGCATGACTCGGTGAACTCAGCTCTTGCCTTCACAGCTACAGCGGTGCTGACTGCGTCCCACAGATGGAGAAGAGCTAGGCCTGTGACCCAGCGAAGTGTCCCGAATTGAGGTGTCCATAGTGGGCCCTGATACTACGAGGCAGGTGAGTGGCTAGTCTGACTGAGATGTGCTAGACGTATAAAATACACCCAAATTTCCAAGTCACGGTATGAAGAAAAAGAGAGAAAGAAGGTAAAAAAAATTCCTCTTATAATGTTTATATTGACTATATGTTAGGATGATAATATTCGGGGCATATTGTATTAAATAAAATCTTAAACGTAATTTCATCTGTTTCACAATTGCTTTTTTACTGGCTTCTAATCTGCCTACTAGATATCTTTAGTTACATATGCAGCTGGCACTCTGTGTTTTGTGGAGAGGGCCCTCCTCAAAACAGGGCCCACAGGACTGAGCTACAGATGCACTAATACGTCTGGCCCTTCAGCAGGGTGAGCGACTGATCAGGCCATGCTGCCTGGTGATTACCTGATGTTGTGCAAGACTGTGTTTTCCAGACTGGAGGGCTGGATGTGCCTGCTGGCCTTAGCAAGGAAGCTCTCCTCTCGTTAGAGGGCTATGTGGCTGGGGGGGGGGGAGTCCAGGGCAGATGAGGGGAATGGGCAGATCTCTTATGTAACCATGATGCTCACAGGTAAGCCTTTTCCGGTCTGGAAACTGGGACACTCCTGCACCCAGAACTCCACCTGTTTTCACCCATATCACTTACAGCTACAACTCAGCCCTGTACGAAAATGCCAGCCTGGATGAGAGAAGGCTGGATGATTGCCTCATTATTTGCCCTCTCACTCACAGAAAGCTGCAGGTGACACAGAGAAGCAACATCAAAATGGAACCAAACAAACAAGCAAGTAACAAACATGAACTTGTGACACATCCACTCAGCGACTCACTCCAACTCTCCCTCTTAAGGACGACACCTTCCTTGGCAGAGACTGCAATGGCCTGCATGTCTGCTGCCCCTTTCTCCCACGGAAATACAATTACTTGCTACATATGTGACTGCCCCGACTCAAAGTCTCACGGCCAGGTAAGAGCACATGGCTGGGGTTTGGCCAGTGGACTGGGCAGGAGGAAATGTGTGTGGCATTTCCCGGGGACCCTCCCTGGAGTACAGGTGCTTTGCCGCAAACCACTTCTTCTAACCCCTGAATCCCGTCACCCGGGATGTGGATGGTGCCTAGGGCCGTGAGGGTGAGGGTCTGACCACAGGGCAGACAGAGTGGGTCTCGGGGCCAGTCCACCCCGGAAACAGAGCCGCCATACTGGCCCCTGGTGTCTCCGCGAGACAGATGCCCATTTTCATCCGGGTGAAGCTCCACTTGGGTCTGGATGTTTGTCACCTGATCTTTATCCAACTAGCACATCTCAGATTTTCCTCTTTCGAGGATCTCAGGGCTCTCTATTCAAATTTCTTGTTTCATGTTTTCCTACTCCAAAATATACTAAAATATATTTTTCTTTGAAACATTAGTTTTAAAAATATATTATTTGTTATTGTTCCTGAGACGCGATATGTCCTACTTAAGGTCTAATGATTTGATACATACATACTTCATGGACACCGAGTACTGTGCAATGTACTCTGTGTGTGTGTGTGTGTGTGTGTGTGTGTGTATACACCGAGTACTGTGCAAACTGTGTATATATAGAGATGAGTACCAGGTTACACTGAGTACTGTGCAAACTGTGTGTATATAGAGACGAGTACTAGGTTACACTGAGTGTGCAAATTGTGTGTATGTAGAGAGAGATGAGTACCAGGTTACACTGAGTACTGTGCAAATTGTGTGTATATAGAGACGAGTACTAGGTTACACTGAGTACTGTGCAAACTGTGTGTATGTAGAGAGAGATGAGTACCAGGTTACACTGAGTACTGTGCAAACTGTGTATATATAGAGACGAGTACCAGGTTACACCGAGTACTGTGCAAACTGTGTGTATGTAGAGACGAGTACCAGGTTACACCGAGACTGTGCAAACTGTGTGTATGTAGAGAGAGATGAGTATCAGGTTACTCCGTGTACTGTGCAAACTGTGTGTGTATATATATATGTCTATATATATGAGTACCAGGTAACACTGAGTAAGTGTGTGTGCATGTATGGGAATGATCAGATTTGCTTCTGGAGTTCTGGAAGTTTAAAAACCGCTACTCTCCTTGGAAATGTTTGCTTCCCACAAATTCCGAAGAAATATTTCTGTTCTACTCAGCTCACGAGAAAGCCGTGCATCGGCATCTTCCGTGTTCTGCTCTGCCTATCGACAGTGGACGCCGCGCTGCTCTAGGCTTCGCTGCGCCCTCACAAAGCACAACACGTGTGCAGGAAGAACTCACCGCCGCGTGCTCCTTACCTCGGCAGATGGGCCGATGGTCGCTCCATGCAGCCAGTGTCTCTGTGACTCTCTGACAGGTTATGCTCTTGGAGCCCTGGAGCACATAATTGTCCTCACAGGAGAACTGGACACTTGCACCAACCCTAAACAATTAAAAAAACAACAACAGAAAACAACCCAAATTATTCACAGAAGCCTTCGTAACAGAAAATGGGCACAGTGTTTTCAGCGTGTATGCCCTCCAAACGACACTAAACGATCTGTTAGACACAATGCTCAGACAGAACCCTGTGACTTAGCACAGGACAGACAGCACCGGACCTGGGTCCAAATTCTCTTCTGCTGACTTCTCAGCTAAATAAATCCATGAGCTTTAATTTCTCCTCTCTGTCTCTAAAATGGACAAAGTGACGAAGGCGACCTGACTGCCTGCCATGGCTTAAGTGTGTAGGAAGAATTGTGTATTCTACAAAGTTGGAGCCATTCTTCGTGACTAAATATGCTGCAAAAACAAGGACTGAAAAGGTCCAGGTTAAGAAAACGTCCCAGTTCACAGAAGGGCAAGTGCTATGTGGTGCCACTCACGTGGCTCTGAAAATACTCAAGCGCAGGGAAGATGTTACTAGGAGCTTGGGGGAGAGGAAACCGGCTGTCATTAATCAACTGGCATCAAGTTTTACTTCGTAAGATGAATAAACCGTAGAGATCAGATATGCAACATTGAGCATTTCATCAACAGTAATGTGTGCTTATGATTGGCCAAGAGCACAGACCCTAAGATGACTGTTTAAAGAAAAGAAAGAAAAGAAAAAATAACAAAAGAAACAAGAATTCTCCCAGTGAAAAGGGAGAGGAGAAAATGTCTCAGTAAATAATTTGTTATAATCACAAACATTAATTATGTTCAGAAGGCCAGTGATAGGGTATTTCAGAAATACACCTTACAGGAACAAAATACTTTGTTTTAGAAAAAAACCAACCTGGGGCACCTGGGTGGCTCAGTCAGTTAAGTATCTGACTCTGGCTCAGGTCACAATCTCACGGTTCGTGGGTTCAAGCCCCGCGCTGGGCTCTGTGCTGACAGCCAGCTCAGAGCCTGGTTCCTGCTTTGGATTCTGTGTCTCCCTCTCTCTCTGCCCCTCTCCCACTCGTGCTCTGTCTCTCCTTTTTCTCAAAAATAAACATTAAAAAAGATTATTTTAAAGAAATAAGCAATCCATCCAGCCTAGCATATTGTTTTGGCTTCTGAGCTGCACCTGAAAATAGGAAGCTGTGACTGAGGTCGTAAGTGTAACAAAATGTTGCACAACACATCGGGTCTGAACACACCAATCCTTCCTTCCTCTAAGCCTGGCTTCTGGAAGGGAGCTGAGCTGAGTACTATTTTAGTATCTCACAAGCCTCCTGCCTCAGGAGGAGTGTCCACGTATGTTTTCCACTTGACAGACTCTGAGCTTGACGCTGACAAAAACGGGATGCCAGGGCGTCTCTGGGGAAAAAAGATGCAAGTCGCCCATGCGCACCTACACAGCTGATAACAGATGGAGGGTAAACACACGCACGCTGTTGCTGCATCCTGAGAACTGTCATGGAATCCCAGGGCACACGTGACCCGAGTGGTATCACACCAGAACCTCCCACGCTTCATGTAACACTCTGGGCACGGTCACAGGTGTCTGCAAAAATCAAGGCAGGGTCAGAGGCACCTGAAAAATTCTGGATTTAACAAAACTCGGCATCTTTCTTTTCTATGTTTTATTTATTTCTGAGAGAGAGAGAGAGACAGACAGATAGCGTCAGCACGGGAGGGGCAGAGAGAGAGGGAGACACAGAATCTGAAGAGCTCCAGGCTCTGAGCTGTCAGCACAGAGCCCAATGTGGGGCTCGAACCCACAAACCGTGAGATCGTGACCTGAGCCAAAGTCAGATACTTAGCCGGCTGAGCCACCCAGGCGCCTCGGGTGTCTTTCTTTTCTAAAGAGGACTCTCAATGTGCTACAAGATGCAAAAATGTAGTTTCCTTACCTAAGAGAATGTAAAGTATGTAAAGATTTCCAAATATATGTTTCCAGGAAGCCCTTTTTCCCCAGTATCGATGGCAACTAAAACTCTATGGAATTAATTTTGAGAAACACTGTATCATAGGTACATAGCAGGTATTATTTTTGAAAGAGAGGAGTGTGAAAAACAAAATATAGACATAATGCTAATTTTCATGGTCAGTCATAACAGCTATACATTTAAAACACGTGTATTTAAACATGTTATTTAAAACAGCTGTACATTTTAGAGACATCCATCCATCCATAATTTCTGCTCACTGGTCTTTGTTTAAATCTCTGGAGCCACACTGAATAAATGAAATAAATCTAAAAATTTTGTTCTGAAAGCCACTCTTATTTTTGTTTTCAGCTACATCTTCAGTTCTTTCTGTTTACCTAAATCTCATTTTTCATCTATTTTATCATTCTTTCAATACATTTTAATTGAACATCTACTATGTGCCACTCTGCTTTACATTTTAATTGAACATCTACTATGTGCCACTCTGCTTTAGGTATCAAAGATATAAAAATTAGTAAAATTAGTTAAAAGTTAACAAGATCCCTGTCTCATGGAAGTAACAGTCTAGTTAAGAGAAGAAAATACAAAGTAATAAATTAAGCAAGGAGAATATAAAAGTATCCTAAGTGCTATGAAGAAAACAAATCAAATGTTATGATGTGATTAACAACACATTAGGGAGAGTTGTTAATTTGAGAGTATGTCAACATTTTTTTTTACAATCCTCTTAAACTGACGTGCTAATAGCTTCTACATTATCACAGGTGTGATCAAGCATAAAGGAAGAAAAGTGGGATTATTGCTTCCATTTGGCAACCACTGTATTTCGTCCAGAGCAGACTATCATTCATTAGTTATGGCAGATTGCGTTCTGCTCAGCCTAAACCTGCACTATTCACGTGTGCTTTCTCAGGCCTCCTGTCAGGGCTCCTGTAGGCATTCTTCGCAGACTGTGTTTTGTCTGGACATCAAGAGACTTAATAATATCAGTGATCTGGCAACACAATATAGATTTATCATCCAAATTATAGGCAGAGTTGGTTTCCAACAACCATGAAAGTGTCAAATAAGAGAAGCAGGCCTGACTAAATTATTTCAGATGTATTTGGAAGAGTCCGAGGTTGCTGAATAAAGGTGAGCAGCACAAACACACAGTGATAGACTAGAGAAGCCTGATGCAAACGTGCACAGACCCCAACTAACAATAGTCTGTAGATATGTATCCATCTGCCAGGAAAAACCCGCACAGACTATTTTCTGGGTGGTGACATCATGGTGAGCACACTTCTGTTTCTATATTCCAATAACTGCATTACTTTTGGTTTTAATAAGCTATAATTTAAGCTTTGAAAACTATTTTAAAATCCTACTAGTAAAATCCTTAGTTTTGACTGCCAGGTGGAAAGCAGAGGAACAGCTTGGGGGAGGGGTGGCCAGTCCCAAGAACTAGAATGAGGTGGGCTCTGCTGCACACGATGAGTCTGACTGAGACTGAAAACAATAGAAACAAATGACGATGACGATGACCCAATTTCCCACCTGCCGTTTCAAACTTCTCCTTTGATTTTATCTCACACATGAATCAGTTCAACTTAAAATCCATGAATGCTCTCAATTTCTAATATATAATGAACCAAGTTCTCATATGACTTATGATTTGATTTACAGTTACTATATTTGCAGTTATCTATATAACATTATTTGATTTTCTGGACAAGACTTTTAGAAATTCTAAAAAATAACAGTTATTAATACCTTCCCATGAACAAGTAAATTTAGGACATCTTGATTAAATATGTTGTATAATTTCGACAATCGCTAGTAGTTGGAAACTATAAGAAATAACAGAAAACTGATTTTGTATAAGATCAAGATAGATTATGTATAGATAATAAATACCTAACTGGTAAAATTTAAGTTAAACAGTTAAAGTAGCATAATTTTGTGTTTTAAATAGGAGAGGGAAAAATAAACATTTCACTTCTTCAATGCCTAGCTTTTCTGAAAAGCTCATCACTCAACTTTCTGAATTCCAAAGACATTCCATTTGTCACCATCTACTTGACTTTACCCATCACAATTTGAAGAGTCTTTTGAGGTGAATGAGCTATTTCTAAACATGCCTTAGTTTCATTTTTTACTTTTTTTTAAGTTTATTTATTTTTGAAAGAGAGAACACAGGCAGTGGAGGGTGGGGGCAGAGAGACAGAGACGGCATCTGAATCAGGCTCCAGGCTCTGAGCTGTCCTCACAGAGCCCGATGTGGGAATCAAACCCACAAGCTGTGAAGTCATGACCTGAGGCAAAGTTGGACACTTAACCAACTGAGCCACCATGGTGCCCCTAAATATGGCTTAGTTTTAACAAGAACTATTTCTAAATTTGGTGTTCCTAAATATTGGCTCTTTACAAATTTATTTAAAATTGGAGCCATAGCTATTTATGATTTAAAACAATCTGAAAACAAAACACCTGAAGTGACTTGAAGATTAAATCAGAATCCAAAATAAGATATGGGTTTATTTAGCTTTGATGTATAATTGTCCATTAATTACAAGAGATAAAACAGCCTAGACCATCAAGATAGAAATATCTCCCATATCACCTCGACCCATACTGGTTGACATCTACTGAATGACTGAAACAACGAGCTTCTCCTTTTAGAGTTTTCTAAGTCAATAGATAGATCAAGGGATGGAAAGAAATAGAAAAATTGGTGGATAGAGATCTTCCCTCTCTATTTAAAAATACATGCAATTCAGGCATTCCACTTAAACATTCATAAATGTTTTAGGCACCAAAAGTGGTCATTAAAACATTTTATATCATGAGAGAAAAAAAAAGATAAATCAATTATATAATACTGGTTTCACTCTTAAGCAACAGAAAACATAGAAGTTACAACAAAAAAAAGTTTTCTTTAGCACTAAGTTCAAGCTAGGATTCGCCATGTTTGTCCTTGTAAAATGAAGGAGGGTGACACTGGGAAATGACACCTGAAACCAAATTCGGCGTCCCTGAACTCTTCTTAAAAAGCAGCGGCACCATGGGGATACATAATGTGATAAAGGGTGTGTGA